CTACAAGTTCTAGATGTGGCTAGGGATATTTAATCCAATACTCTATGGCCGACGTCTTTTCCAGTAGTTCACCGTCGACACCTACATCAAGATTGAGAGCTCACGTTTAGACTACATGAGGAACAATCAGGATACTTTGAGGGCTGACCTATACCAAGGCCTGGTGGATAGCATGCATTCGGGTGAAGGATCTGCTGAGAATGTTGGAAGGCGTACTGTCCTATCTTCGTCATTCATTGGAGGACCCCGTGATATGAGGCGCCGATACATGGATGCAATGGCTCTGGTGTGAAAGTATGGTAAACCTGATATCTTCCTCACAATGATGTGCAACCCTAACTGGGATGAGATCAAGAATGAACTTTATCTAGGCCAGACACCACAGGACCGCCCAGATCTCGTCACATGAGTCTTCAGAGCAAAGTCAGAGGCGATGAGGAAAATGTTCATAGAGAAAGACATACTTGGGAAGGTGAAGGCCTACGTATATGTAGTGGAGTTCCAAAAGAGGGGCTTGCCGCATGCACACTTCTTGCTGATAATGGAACAGAAGTACAAGCTCACATGTCCTGAGCAATATGACATGATTATCAGTGCAGAGCTACCAAACAAGAAGTACCCTGAGCTCTATGAGATGGTGACGAAGCATATGATGCATGGTCCCTGAGGGGTGCTAAATCCATACTGTCCATGCACGGTGGGCCGCGAGTCATGCAAGAACTGTTACCCGCGCCCATTCTGTGAGGCAACGTCATAGGGAAAGGATTCATACCCCATCTATCGGCGACACAATGATGGCCGCATGCTAAAAGTTCAAGGCCATTACCTGGACAATCAATGGGTCGTGCCTTACAACCCTTGCCTGCTACGTACCTTCAACTACCATATCAATGTTGAGGCCTGTGGGAGCATTAAATCAGAAAAGTATCTATTCAAGTACATATACAAGGGACATGATAGGGCATCGGTGGTGATGAGGGAGACCAACAAAGCAGACGAGAAAGGGAATATTGATGAGATCAAGCAGTATAGAGATGCCCGGTGGGTGACGCCTCCAGAAGCACTATGGAGGATATATGGCTTTAACTTGAGCAAGAACCATCCACCAGTACAACAGTTGCAGCTTCATCTACTTGACATGCACATGGTGGCATTTCATAAATGGGATATGGTCGAACGGATCGTTAATAGGCTAGGTGTAGAAGAGTCAATGCTGACAGCATACTTTGATGAAAACAGGCATCATGAGGAAGCCCGTGGAATCTTGTATCGGGACTTCCTGGAGCATTTTACCTGGCAGTCTGATGGTAAATTCTGGCAGAAAAGGAAAAACTCCATTTTCCAAGTTGGAAGAGTCATCTCGGCTCATCCTACTGAGGGAGAATGCTACTTTCTTCGTGTTCTCTTGAACAATGTTGCTGGTGCTACCTCATACGAACACCTCAGGATGGTTGATGGCGTGCTACTACCTTCGTTCCGTGAAGCTGCAGAAAGGAGGGGTCTAATCGAAGAAGACAATACACTGGATGAATGTCTAACTGAAGCTACTTTATTCCATATGCCTTCCCTCTGCGGAGGTTATTTGCAATAATATTGGTATTCTGCGAGACGCATGATGTGATGGGGTTGTGGAAAAAAATACTACGATGCAATGTCACAGGACTACAGCCGCAATCATCCATCCCCGGTTCTGGTGCAACAAATGGTTTTGATAGACATTAGAAACATGCTGCAGTCTATGGGGAAGGACATAAGGTCATTTCCTCTTCCAGATATTGATCACTCATATGATGATGCCAGCCATATTCCTCGTGAGATATTTGAGGAAGCTAGCATTGAGCAGAATCTCGAAGATGTGCTATTGTGTGACTCACTCAACGCCGAGCAAAGGTCTACCTATGATGAGATAATGGCCGCTGTCTGCAGCAAACAAGGCGGGATGTTCTTTGTGGATGGACCTGGCGGGATAGGAAAGACATTTTTGTATAGGGCACTTCTCGCAAAACTACATAGCCAGGACAAGCTTGCCGTGGCTACAGCTACATCTAGAGTGGCAGCAACCATATTGCTAGGCGGGAGGATGGCCCACTCACGTTTCAAGATACCCCTCACTCTTCAAGAGGGTGGTTGTTGTAGCTTCATGAAACAGAGTGGTACTACCAAGTTGTTGCAGCAAGCAGCTCTCATAATTTGGGACGAGGCATCTATGACAAAGAGGCAAAATGTGGAAGCACTAGACAACAGCCTACGGGATATAATGGTCCGGTCAAACCTATCGTTTGGTGGGAAGACTGTTGTCCTTGGTGGGGATTTCAAACAGGTCCTCCCTGTTGTGCGGAAAGGATCCAGAGCTTAAATAGTCGGTGCTTCTCTACGAAGGTCATATCTTTGGGAATCCATGCGCCACCTAAAGCTCATCCGTAACATGAGGGCTCAGAGTGATATGTGGTTTGCAGATTATCTGTTGCGCATTGGTGGTGGAATGGAAGAGGTTAATGGAGATGGCAATGTACGTATTCTAGATGAGATATGTGTCCCGTACTCTGGCGATGCCGAGAAAGATCTTCATACATTGATCAACATCATCTTTTTAGATATAAATGCAAACATGGCGGACAAAGACTACATGACCACCAGAGCGATTTTATCTACACATAACGATTGGGTTGACATGATGAATATGAAAATGATTGATATGTTCTAGGGCGGCGAGATGGTGTATCACAGTTTTGACTCTATGGTAGATGATCCACATAACTACTATCCATCAGAGTTCCTTAATAGTTTGACCCCCAACGGGCTGCCTCCACACGTCTTGAAGCTCAAGCTCGGTGTCCTATCATATTGCTTAGGAATATTGACCCTGCCAATGGGCTATGCAATGGTACAAGGCTGGTGGTGCGGGGTTCCAAAGAAATACAATCGACACGGAAATCGTGGTGGGGCAGCATGCTGGGAAGTGGGTATTCCTTCCTCGAATGCCGCTATGCCCATCTGATGATGAGATGTTCCCGTTCTAGTTTAAGAGGAAGCAGTTTCCTATCAGGCTGAGCTTTGCCATGACGGTCAACAAGTCACAAGGCCAAACTATCCCAAACGTGGGTGTGTACCTACCCGCACCGGTGTTCTCTCACGGTCAGTTGTATGTTGCGATGTCTAGAGCCACGTCAAGAACCAATATTAAGATCCTTGCCCTCCCGCCTGATGCGGAGGCACAAGAGGAGGCCAAAAAGATGGAGAAGAAAAATGTTAAAAAGAATGCCCGAGGGAAAAAATAAGAATGCATCAAATAAAAAAGATAATGATAAGAAGACCCCAATAGCGGATGAAACTTTCATGAAGAATATTGTATTTAAGGAGGTTCTAACGCCGTAGGCGAGGTAACAGAACATTACTAACGCATACAATGCATTTTTTCATTCAATTTATATTGTACAAATAATATCTCACTAATGCCATATTTGTTGCTATTCCTAGGTATTTTTAAACGGATTATCAGACTCTACACGGAGATGTTGTACATACACTTGTGTGATGGCATAATAAAAATTGAACATGTGTTATATTATTGTTATAAAAATGACACTTTGAGTGTTTTGTTCATAATATTTCGTTTTGTAACCATTCATAACTATTACACGTGACCATGAGTTTTGTCGACTTCCTCCACTTTTCTCATATGCCAATGTGGGATCAACCGAATTAGCACCTGTATAATTACAAACATAAATTACTTGAATAAAACCAACGAAGCAAGTTAGCGATAATAATGAACAATAGTGCTAAACAACACCATACCAGTGGTTGTGGGATGGCACGATCGTAGTGGCGTTGGTTCCGCGCATTCAGGAGTATAGCTCCTTTGTATTTCCCTTTGTTGCACTAGGGTCATTAGTTTTTTCATGAAATCTACAAGACTAAAAACATAGAAAATATAAAACACACTTCATGATCTTTATCACCTATAATATGTGCTGATATGATTAATTAGAAACTCAATTGGATAACGGACAGTTTTTCATCAAATTAATATTTTAATCAATAAATTTATAATTATTAAGAGATATGAAGAACGTTAGCAGTGCTACGCAGAGCTCGACACTATGAAACTATCACAAAGATAACTACTTTAATCCGAGTTGAAATGATTACACGACGGAGATTTGAAGCCCTAAATTTTATGGACATGATGATCCTGACTTCTTAGGCGGCTTTACTACGTACAGTGCTAATTAGGCCTATATTGGTCCACGGAATAGAAGTCGGTCATAGAAGATTATTGGCTCAAATACTGAATACACATGCGTGCATACGTACAGTAAAAGAGCTCCATGCATGCATGCATGATGTGTATGTGTACGTATATAGCTGGCTTCTTTGTCTAGCTAGCTTTCCAATGAATATATACTCTATATACATGCATGCACGTGCAATACTTTTGACATTGTATATCTAATCTTGGTACAATATGTACTACCGCCATTGCCGGGCCCGGTGATACACATGGGTGGTGCTCGATCTGTGGCAGGAAGGAGGGATTGGCCGGGCTCGGATTTTCTTTCCCCTCCTCAGTCAGTCAATCACTGCATGCCCTTTGCATAGAAAGGGTGGCCGGACTGGGATTTTCTTTCCCCTCATAAAAAAGGAAGGCCACTGCATGCCCTTCTATATTAATTTTTCCTTTGCATGGTCAATCACGGCATTACAAATTACTCATGGCCGTGCGTTAATTCTGTCATTTTTTCCTACACATTTTTTTCCTACAGTAAGGACCAAATTTAGTCATGAGGAGCATGGCGCCACAGCGGATGCTACTGGCGCTCCCGGACGACATGGTCGTCGAAATTGCCGCGCTTGTCGCCGCGACCTCGCCGCACCCGATGGAGGACCTCTGCAGCCTCTGTGCCACGTACGTGTCCACGGTCCACCCACGCACGAGTCGCATTACTACAAATTTAATTTGTCTACCTATACCGTGTGTGTCTTGCAGTTGCCAGACCATGCGCGCGACGTGCATGGAGCGCATTGTCGGGAGACGCGTAGCGCTGGAGCGGGAGGAGTCCATGAGGTGGTTTGACCACAACCGCTACCTTGCCCTCATTGACAAGCTGGCCGCCACCGGCAACCTGGAGGTCTGCTTCGTGCTCAGGCTCAAGCTCGTCTTCACGCAGGGCCGCACGGATCCCGTCGGCACTGCCTTACTCAGACAGGCGGCCGTCGCTGACCACAAGGTGGCAGCCTACGTGCTCGGCGTCCTCCACTACGGGGACGAGGAGGCCGAGCAGTACATCAGGCAGGTGGAAAGCGAGGGCGAGGGTGACGTCGTCGCCCACAGGTGCAAGCCGGAGGCCAGCAAGACCAACCAAGAGTGCGTGAAGTGCCATGAGCAAGCTGTCATCGCGGTCCCGGAGGTGATATGGAGGGTGGACGGAATGATGGACCCGGTGCCGGTGCCACCGCCGGCGGTAAGTTGCAAGGGCAGTGGCTGCGGCGTGGCGGAAGGATGGACCAAGGGCTGCACTGTCTTTTGGAGCGACAGCTGCAGGATTAGGCACGAGTACTCCGAGTTCTTCTCGCGAGTCTCATCATTCCTGAACTAAAGCCTAAATGTACTTTGTGACGTGCTTTTTGTTACGTATATACACATCATAAGGATGCCTTTTCCCCTGTCATATATTTTAAACAAAAGCCTAAATAGTACTTTGTGAAAAGGATTGTAAACTTTTCCCCTGTCATATAGCATGCCCACCTCATATCACCAAAGACTTCTAGCTTCAGGAGGTGGAACAACTGATATGTGTTATTTATGTCTTGGAACACAGCTAATGGCAACGTTTTGAACTTAATTGTCATAGGCAGCCTGGGAAATAGAAGTTCTCAACGCTATTAAGCTCGTGAGCACGGCTACTATTCTTCAGCCTCCATGGGAGTTGTCCAAGTAAGCACTAGAGTCTGCGTCGTTGCTAATTTGAGTCCTGCTCAATATTTTCAACTACGTTTCACTTCCCACTCCTTTTGTGATCATGTTGACTAGATATCACAAATGCATAATTTGTCGATGGCAGAACCTTCATTAGGCCTTTGCTTAAAACCATGCGCAGCACCAAGTTCTTGGAGTTTGTCGTAGTCAGAATCTTTAAGTTGAGACTGACTATTCCTCGGCCTCTCCTGCAGTATGTATACAAATATTGTCAAGTTACCTCACCGCTTGCATTTTCTTTTTGCAGAACACTAGAAAGAAGCAGAAAGAAATTAGCGAAGATAGTAGGAGATTGCGGTAACCGTTGTGGTCAGCAGGCCAAGTTATACTAATCCTGACTCTCGATATCCTTCTTTTTCAGAAAATATGTGCTTTAACAAAAATGCCAGAATTCCATAAAAAATACAATACGAAAGAAATGGCTGCTGCGATTGGTGTATGTGAGGATATGGAATACAACTTAGCACAGTGCAGACACGTAAGTCGCTTGCTCCTACTTCTATTACTTGTTTCCTATATACTATTCTAATTGCTACCATGTTTGTAGTTTCTTTTGCCATGGCTGCACGTTCGAAAATATATGCTTTACGTTTTCGATCAGCGGGAAAAGATGCTTATCATGATTGACCCTAGACCTGTTGAAGAGTGGTGTAAAGACACACCAACACTGATATATGCCAAGTACACTCTTAAATTTAGCTTCAACTACATGGCCGCAGTGAATAAACATATTCCTAGATGGAAGGAGGGTGTCTTCAAATGGAAATTCAAACGGGAAGAAAACATCGCAGAGGACATAGATGGGTAACTAACTCAGAGTCACCGTCGCTTACAATAATAATACCTATGATTTAACTATTTCTACATATTGCTGATCGTGAATCTTGCCACAGACACTTAAGTGGATATCTTATTCTATAGTATATGTCTGCGTGGAATAGACCAAAAGCCACACATATTTATACGGTGAGTATAACACTTTGTTTTAAGTTTTTATAGAAGTTTTTTCAAGAGACACAATATTACCCATGGGACAGGCACTAATATTGACATATATACTCGAACCTGTGTACAACATGGTATGGAGATGCGGCGGAACTTATTCGTGGATTTATTGGCGCACGAAAGAAATGGATATCGAAGATTTCTTCCTGCCGATATAAAACATTATTTTAGCCGCATCACGAAAAGGTCTATAAAGTAGAGTTTGTGAGCCTACGACGCCGCGCACTCCGTGACTATGTTAAATTCATAAACTTTGCTTTTTAGATTAAATGTCACTTTAACGTTGGTATTTAATTTTTACAGTATTTTTATCTTATCATACGATCCGTGTGTTTTTAGTATAAAATGTTAGCTATCCCGTAGCAACGCATGGGCACGCTACCTAGTCTCTTACAACTAAAAAGACTAAAGAGTGTACATTTTTTGGTGCGACAATTGCCTTCGGGTCGTCGGTCTGTCGCGTGCGATCCCACGTGAGCGCTCGCCCCCCGCATCGCTCGCTTCCCCGGCGCCCTCCTGGTCGCGATCCATCCCTACAATCACGCTGCATCCCCTCCAGCGATCCCGCTCCAATCAACTTTGGGTCGCCAGTCTGCGGCGTTAAGGGCGATATCTCGGAGCTGACCGAGAGTCCCTCACCCGCCGATTCTGGGGCGTTGCCACCTTCCTCGCGCCACCGCCAGTTGATAGGAGGAGGAGGAGGAGGAGGTGCCTCAGTCCCCACGGATCAACGGGGTCCGGAGTGACCTGGCAGAGATTGGGGGCAGGGTGAAGACTGGCATCTTGATGCTGTTGAACGCTGGCGTGGTGGCGGAGATCTCCAGGATCGCATCGTCGTTCCTGCCATTCGGGCCTAGGGATCAGGGGGAGGAGGAAGAGGGTGAGGCAGTCGGTGTGACTGAGGAGGTAGTGGTGTTCGTTAGTAACATCTCAAAGCATCCGAAGACAGCTTGATTTCCCCTTGTTTGTTGATGAGCGACACACGGATGGTAAGAGCCAGTGGCATCAGATCAGAGTGCTTGGACTGTTTATTTTGTTGCTTTGATTCATAGATGGTTGAACCGATTGTTTTGGTGCAATTGTGTGCTCATTTTGTTGCAGTAGTAGTGGATAAGGGAAGAATCTGAGGGTTAACCTTAGTTGCTTAAGCTTGTTTGTCCACAATACAGTGTTCTCTTACTACTGAAATTACGGTTTCTAAAGTGTAACTACATCTATTCATCTTAATTTAGCATCTGAACTCAAGTCATCATTAGTCATCATTGTTTATGTTGGAATTGAGTATATTTTGCTTATATTTACAAAGGTTTTGCTGGGCAAGTGTTGTTTGCAACTGGTTGTGACACTGTCAATGTTTACTGTACTTTTGCTCAAACTTGCAACCGGGTCAGAGTTGTTTTTGGAGTTGACAATTATAGGTTCAACATCTGTAAGTTGAATGAGTTGACACAATTTTGCATGGCAGTCCTTCATTATGATGCATGTCCAATGTTCCTTACCATACCAGATTGATTTCGTCAGTTTCTTACACCTACATTTGATATGCTTCTATATTTTTAGATTTTGAACTGTATGCACGGTATGGACATGTAGTTGCTATAGAGCGCCTGGTGCCAAGCCTGTCGTACCTCAGGACTGAGCTTTGCTCTACCGATATGAGTGAAGCGTGCTTCTGGAAAAATATATTTTGTGCTTCTCCATTCGAAACTCTGCAAGCAAGATGCTGAAATTCTTTCAACACCACAAGTATACTCCCTCTTCTTTGTTCTATTATTTTTTCTTTCTAATTGTATTTTTTTAATCATGTATGTTTCTTGCTGTTCATGCGGACTACAATTATCCAAACAGAAGCATCTTCTTATAGGCTTGATTTGGAAGACAACATGTATATATCTTGTCAGAAATAAGAATTACCTGTTTATGTGTTTGAGCTGTGGTCTTTTGAATGTGAGATATGCTATCTGGAAACCATTTTCTTACCCCCTATAAGCTGTCATATTGTTTATAATTGGCTTATTATCTATCCTTTCTCTGAAGTATGAACCAGTCCATTCTCCATTGTGGATTTTGTGAGTAGCGTGGATGTGTGTGAGCTCAAGTTGACTAATACAAACCGAGGCGCCGGACACCACGAGGCCCTCCCGCCTCCCATTTAACGCCACACGTTGCCGATGACGCACTTGAACGCGCGCCGCTAATAATGACGCCGACGAACCGCTGGACGCGCCACCGACTCCACGACCGCGGCGCGGCTGCCGCCGCCGCCGAACCTCGGGACGCCGCCGCCCGACGCCACTGGGCGCGCGCCATCGCCTCCACGACCTGCCCTGCTGCCGTCACCGTCGGAACGACGACCGCCCGTCAACCCAGCGCCAGGTCTCCGCCGTCCTCGCTTCGCGCCACCGCCATCGGATGCCGGCCCGCTCACGGCTAGGAGCGTAATGTGTATGTCCTTCATTGGATCCACGCTCAGGATTTCTGTGTGCTCTTATGTCTACTAACTTTGATCCTTTCAAAGTCACTAGAACCTAGGTTCGCTGTTGTATACTACTATGATTTGGTTTGTACTTTTGAGTGCCAAATCACACGTGCATATGTTATCTATTGTACTAATCTCGAATACATTTAGAAAAGTGATTCTCTGAGTTTTTCATGTCTTTGCGTGGATTACATTTATTCCTTAACAAATCTCACAAGCCCTCCTTTCGTAATCTAGAATCGACAATTGCTGTTTTACTCAGTAAAACTTAGTTAGTATAAAAGAATAGCCTACTAGCACTCTCCTGTATTTCAGAGGTACAATAAACCGAGTGAGTCTGTAAGTGCCCAATGTAGCTTTTTTATCCACATCCGACTCACCATGTGCATCAAGCAATGTAGGTAATTTCTCCAATGAATCCATCTTGAAGGAACTTACGCAAATAATAGTGATTATTCTTATTTGTATGGTATCTTCTCTGTGGCAAATTGCAGGCAAAGCTGCTCGTCACACTCACGTTGTCGAGCTCAATCCGCCCCGATCCATGGGTTGTTTTGCATGTAAATTCTGTGGACTGGTGGAAACGATATTATTCCTCTCAATAAAAATTGAAAATAGGTGGTTTGTACATTCTATTTCTTACCTAAGAAATATGAATTTTCTCTACCTAATCTCTTACCCAAAGATCGATGTTTCAAAATGTGCATTGCTTCATGTGTCTTGGCTGTTGTTATAAAAAACAATTATCAAGGGTGAAATAATCTTGTCTTTCCCCCGCGTATGGTTTCCTATGGAATGAAACATCTTCTATTGCCTCTTCCATGATTTGACTATCAACAATCTGTTAAGTTGATCCTTTTGTTGCTCTATGTTAGTGATACACATTAACTGCTGTTAAGCTGTCATGGAATGGAATGCTTTTAGTTAATGATTAATGATGTGTAATGGTTGAGGCATATGTTGTCATTTATCATCCAGTTTTTATTAGGCTTGGTGTAGTGGTCTGTGTATGGATAATGGCTTTGGATTTATGTTGTGTAATGGAGGGAGTAGTAATGAAATAGCATGAAGGGTCTTATTTTACGGCATACTCCACACAGAAATCTCTTAACTTCAATGACTCTCTGTTTCTCAAAAAAATCAGGAAATCTAGATTCACTTCAACCTGCAGATGTGTGTTGTGCTGAGTAGCAGCTGTTTTTTCAGTGTTCTTTTTTTAAATATGCTATATTCTCTTCTTTAGAATGTTCAAGTACCAATTATGTCACATCGACTATCAATCTCCTGTCTCATGCAGAGTTACTTTGGTGCTTCTCTGACTGTATCAACCTGAAACTGGGAACTCAAGTTACTTTGGTGCTTTTCTGGTAATAAAATCTGCACCTTGATTATCGCAAGGTTTTTTATATTGGCCAATTTATTTGTGGTTGCATAAACACTTTTGACATGAGCTGATCCTATTATAATTAAAGTGGTACAAAAGATAGTCTGAATTCCTACTCAACCATGTCCCCTGTGCCTGCCGGGAGTTGATCTTGTGGTTAAATACCCGTGCAGCGCCATCTGAATAATGCATTGTTTTAGGTAAATGCATGGGCCTCCTGTCCCCAAGACGTCTTCCCGTGAGGTCTTGTTAATTCATTTGGTTTATGAATCCTTTGATATTAAGGTTCTGGTCTAAATAGTGCCTTGTTTGATCAAGTTTGGTTGTAGATTTAATCTGATTTTTCTATTCATGAATTTGTAATTCCCTACATAATCTGCTCTTCTTTCGGATTAGCATGCTCTTGTATGTTTTAATGTAGTTTAAGGAAGAAATCACAAAAACAATAGAAGTTTGATAGTGCA